ATGCTTTTTGTGGGGGTTTTATCCTTTAGCTTGTTTCTGTCCAAAAAAATCTTTTAAAAACAAAAAAACTTAGAGAAAAAAAAGAGTAATGTATTCATCTCTCTCATCATATAAAACTGGAATGTATGTTACTAGAAAATTAAGTAGGTTATATATTGTTAACTGCATTTAACTAGCATTGTCAATGCATTTGAACTCGGCCATCGTGGTAAGTTAAAGCTTTTATTTCCTGAAACACAAAAATGAATGAGAAAACTTGAAAACTTGCCCAAAGCTGTATGTTCCTTTGAGCTTTTGAATTAAGAAAAAACTGAAGGAACCTCTACCTACTCCTCTATAGAGTTCGGTATTTAAAATAATTTAAAGTAGAACTTAAGAAATGTTTAGGCAGAAATTTCCCTAGATTAAAGTGCATAAGCATAAGAATGATTTTATTTAAGCAGTTGAATACACCCTGAGCTAGATTTTCATTACCAAGATCATATCCATTCTTTGCACGATGCTTTCTGGGGCACTGAGGATCTGATCCTCTCAGACACCTTCTGAGGTCCACCCCAGTCACACACACACCTCCCTGCCTGACAGGACTGTCAGTCAAAGCCTCCTGGCAAGGGGCCAGGTTACGCTGCTCTGTGCATGCAGTGAATGGACAACCACAGACAGAAACGCTGCAGGAGAGCTTTCTACCTTTGGTGCCATATTGAACTGAAACCTGTAAGGTCACGTTTAACACGAACAATTTATGATTCTTCTCAAGCCTTATGCTTAGAGCATTTGCTCAGCCCTGAAGCAATTCTCAGATGGGGTTTTCTACAAAAAAAAAGAAAAGAAAAGAAAAGAAGAAAAGAAAAGAAAAGAAAAGGAAAAAAGCAAAAAGCACTACTGGATGAAAGTATTAGTCTGGGAGGATTATCCTAACCAATTGCTAAGCTGTCTGTCAGGTTTTACCACGTAAAAACTAAGCAGCAATCAACAAAAATTGGAGACTAGCATAACAGCATAATGCCCAGTGCTAGAATAACTACACAGGTAGGGACCATGAAGAGCACCACCCCAACATGCCCTAGAAACTGATTTCAATTCTCTTCTAACATAGCAGGTATACATTCAAGTCAAGATGTATCTGAGTCTGGAGTCTGATTCAGGGATTTTCGGTCTGGCCCTTATTGAAGAGGAACCCTAAGACATTAAGTTATTTCCAAGATTAGAGGGCAGGTAATAACCAAGTATCTGACCCCACTTCTGGTATTAAGAGAGCAAAACACTGAATAAGTTGTATTTGTACAGGCTTCAGACTCTAATTAATACCTAAATATAAAGCAGTTCTTGCAGGTACAATCGGGAACAAAAGGCAGAGGTCAGTAAACTATAATCCACTGCCTATTTTTAAATATTTCTGGAACACAGCCATGCTCAACTGCTTATGTATGTGCGTACAGCTACTTGCATATTACAATGGGAGTTAAGTAGTTGCAGAAACCATGTACCTTGCAAAGCCAAAGTATTTGGCCCTTTTCATAAAAGTCTTGCTGACCCTTGCTAAAAAGCATATCCAGAGCATTTTATGTTTGACCTTGGGATAGGGAGTAGATCAGGAAAGGTGACCTGAAGAAAATAGGTTTAGCTTGAGTCAGTAGGTTGAAAAAAAGACCATGGACTCACCAAAGTGCCATTTAAAGGGAAGATCAAATTACTAAAATATGATCTTAATGATTACCCTATTATGAGTGATTAAAAGTGATCCCAAATACCAACAGTAAACTTTAGGATTCATGGCCCCTCTGTGGTCGTGTGACTAAACTAATGGTGAGGATTTTCTCTGTATTTTCTGCAAATGCTTTATGTTAATGCCTATTCCAGTCTCATTCACATGGGGATATACTGTCATCTCTGCATGACCATAAATCATACTTCAGGGCACCTGCTCCCTGCCCCGTACCATGTTTCAATTTACAGAGGAAAACCAGAGTCCCCTTAGGGGAGAGTGGTATGCTTACCTTGGGCAAAAGAAAAACAGTCTGCCGCCCAAAGTAGATACCAATAATCAATTCTGATTTAGGATCACTGTTTGTTTTGAGCTGGAAGGGACCTCTGATTCTCTGTGGTCTCCTAGACCTTCACAAACTCATTAAAGGTAATGCTTCACAGAGCTTTAAAAAAAAAAAAAGCCTGAAAAGATTTTTAAAAAGAATTTAAGATGTTGATAAACCAGTAAGAGTGAAGAGTTGTATATACTCAGGGTAAGATACCCCCACAATCCCTGCTGCTAAAACTTCATCAGCAAGATATCCCTCTTTCTGACCTTGGCTCCTGTCCCTGCCCCCTTTGGAACTCTTCCAGTATATGATCTAAAACTGATAGTCACCAGCAAAATCCCCTATATATCCTTACGTTTTTCAAATATTCTCTTCACCTTCCTAAGTCGACCTGGGTTCTCCCCTAAAGACACCGTTCCCTGAAGCTCTCCCATTGTCAAAAAGAGAGCTGATAGAGAACGTATCAGATATTAAACTGATAAGAACAGATACTACACAGACCATGAGTGAGAGAAAGAAATGTTAACTGATACAAGCCAAGGAGATTTTGGAGTTGTTCGCTATGTAGCATGGGCACTATCACAGAAAGTGATACCAGAAGAGGGGTGCTGTCATCACCAAATCCTAAAATTTGTGGTACTGGCTTTGACAGTGGGTGGCAGAGGACAGGGGAACACTTACAGGATCTTGAAAAACGGAGACACGATATGTGACAGTGCAACAGTTGGTAGGAAACACATCAAATGAAGTTCTAGCAGAGATGCCCTAGTTGACCCACAGACTTGAGAGTAAAAACAAGAAATGTGTCCTGATGTAAGCTGCTGAGCTCTGGTGGTTATTACTACACAACATTACTGCAGTAAGAGTTAAGTATTTAAGGCCAGCCACCCCATTTGTCTACTAGATCCCACTGGCTAATCAAGACATTGTTATAGCAATTTTTCTTGTCCTAAATCAGCAGATTTGCCTGTTCTACAGGTTCATTCCCAAAGGTAAATATTCTATAATTTCAGTTGGTCAGCAAATCCTATTGGCTCCAACTTCTAAACATACCCAGAACCTGGTAACTTCTTTTAACTTCCAACGTCACCACTGACTAAGCCACCGTCATCTCTCACTTGTATTATTCTAACAAGTTTCCTTATTGGTCTCCCTGCTTCCAGCCTTGCCCTGCTACATAATTTATTCTTAACATAGCAGCTACAATAATTCTTTAAAAATGAAAGTCAGTTCATGGGCATTTTTGTTCAAATCTCTCCAATGTATTTCCAGGACACTCAGAAGAAAAGCCACACACTCCCCTCCTCTGTCACGACTTTCCCCAGAGATCATTCCACTCTGGCTACACAGTCAATCCTTGCTGGTTCTTGCACACATCAAGTAAGCTGCTACTGCAGAGCATTTGCACTTGCTATTCTCTCTGGTTAGAATGTTCCTGCCCCACACATCCAGATATCCACAACTTCATCAGGTCTTTGCTCCAGCAATACTCAGTGAGCATCTTCCAGGCACTGGCCACCGTATTTAAAATTACAACTACTCATTTTTACTTTATCTGTAGCACTTACCGTATATGACCCATAATATACCTTAAGTGTTATTTACTGTTTCCCCAGATAGAATGAAAGCTCCAAAAGGTCAGATATCTCTGTTTCCATTCATAGCTATCTCCCTAGTGCCTACAATGGTGCCTGAAAACATGGCAGACAATCAGTATTTGTTAAATCAATGAATGAATCTGTATGATAAGAGTCAGGTCTAGTTTATATTTTACATTTCTAAGTTATAAAGTAATAAACCAGACACTTACACTGGAAAGGAAATGCTATAGTGAAGACAAACATTCATATAGTTTTAGTAAGATTTTAGTAATAAGTCTTTTTTTTCCTTTTCTCTCATTTACAGGAAAGAAAATACAGAAACTATAGGGACTAGAATTCAACGTAATTATTTGAGCCCCTGGACTAAAGCTGTACTTTCAAAATTACAGTTATATATACTACTTATTTTCACCACCACAGAAAATTTTTACCTACAGGGATATATTTCTGTGATATACCAGTTTCCTAAGAAATGAATAAAGCACTCAACTATAATTCTTAAAACAGAAAACAATATATACTCAATAAGAACAAAGATCAATTTTTAGAAAAGCAGTATATGAAGTTCAACTTTAAGTATCTTTCATTTTTTCCTTTGCTAATCCTTCTCCAAACTAAAAAAAAAAGTTTACATTAATTACTGCTGAAGGCTCAGATATTACTAAAAATAACCATTTATTTAAAGCTGTTTTTGTAGGAAGAGAAGAAAGATATAAAAAGAGCTGACAGTATTTGTAGAAAAGCACATATAAACATTCTTTGAATGGAAGCCTGTTTACTTACCAGGCAGACAACATGTATCTGTCAGCCATAAGAATAAATACGACATTAAATTAAAATGAGCACTTCTTATTGTCATCAAATAAATGAAATGAATTTAGCCACTAGATCTAGATGTAAAGCACATTGCTTCAGTTAACCAAAATTAAATTTTGTTTTAAACCAGCACATATTACAATAAGGCTACCCCATAATTATTTTGCCAAGGGAATCCCCCCAACAAAACTAAATAAAGAGAAGTGGGGGTAAGAGGGAGGGAGGGAGAGAAGAGAAAAAGAAATCTACTCTTTATTTTAAACATTGAAATGTCAGTCTACTACGCCTCTGAAGATTACTTTGATATCTCTTCTTTCCCCCAAGGAACTCATTACTTGTATTTCAGGGGAGAAAGTGCTGACAGACACTAGCTCTCTTATTAAAGACTTCCCTTTTTGTGGGAACTGAGCACACTCATCGTACCATTTTCAAATTCAGTTAACAGGTATCTTTTGGCATACTGATGATAAAGCCACTATATTCATTTCAAGTAAAGATTTCAATTACTGTATAACTCTTAAGGTGACTTATATTTTTTGTTACTTACCAAGTCCTAAAAGATCAACAGTGGGCTCTGCAGCTTTTTTAGGGCTGGTACTTTTTTTGGGCTCCACCTGCTGATCTTCTTTCTTCTGCAGCTTTAAAGGAAATAATCAGTTTTATTAATTTTTCTTAAATAAATTGAACAACCTTTTAAGCCCCAATTAATTATGCATTTTTTGATATAGTGTAATGAAGTGTATGAAGCATAGTGTAATGAAGCCCAAAAAATTTATTATTGTATAAAAAACAAGTAAGCATGGTCACTGAACTTGAAATGACAAACCTTACGTATCAGGATCCCAAAATAGTAAATATACACACTTAATGTAATTGTTCTTAATCATTTAAATCCTTTATATGAAATTACACTTTTTAAAAGAACTCCATTTCATATTATTTGCTAGCTACTGTTAATGTGCTCTTAACTAGAGGCTGGGGAGGCCTCAGAATCTTCATGAGCATGCTGTTAGTCCCCTCAACCACACTGCTGATATGGGAGACACCTGTGCACCAAGAAGAGCCTAATGAAATGTTACCTGATAGGTTTTCCTCCTGAGTCTACACGATCAGTTACATTTTTAAATATAATGTTTAGTTCTCAGAAACCCAAGTCAGTTACACATTCTAAACTTTCTCTTTATCACTTATACAGAAATGTTCTGTAGGACAGGATGAAAAGAAGCACATCCACTGGATTATCAACTTAAAAGCCTACCTCTCTTTTCACTTTTTTAATGTAGATATAATTGGCATATAATATTATATTAGCTTCACGTGCACGACATAATGATTCCACATTTGTATGCATTGTAAAATCATCACCACACAAGTAAGTGTAGTTAACATCACCACACATAGTTAAGGAATTTTTCTTTTAATGGTGAAAACTTTTAAGACCTACTCTTAGTAAATTTTAAATATACAAGACAGTATTATTAACTATAGTTACCATGCTGTACATTACACCCCTAGGACTTATTTATTCTGTAACTGTAAGTTTGTACCTTTTAATCCCCTACACCCATTTGCCCACCTCCCACCCCTGCCTCTGACAACCAGCCCTCTGTTCTCTGTATCCATGAACTTGTTTTTTTCATTTGTTTTTGTTTGTTTGGAGTTCTTTTTTAGATTCTACATATAAGTGAGATCATATGGCAGTTGCCTTTCTCTGTCTTATTACTCTTGGCATAATGCCCTCAAGGTTCATCCAAGTTGTCACAAATGGCAAGATTTCATTCTATCTTATAGCTGAGTAACATTCCATTAAATATATAGCCTACCTCTCTTAGACCAAGAAAATAAAACATTCATTCACTCACATTCATTTCTCAAACCATTCCTACAAGATCATTTCTTCTACAACTACCTAAAAAGTTCATAACTTACTTGTTGTAGGAGTACATTTTTGGTAGCTATACAGATATATAATTTCTAAGGACATGTATCTACTCTTGTTTTTAGTCACAACTATCTCCCTCAAAATTGTTTGTGTTATTTACTTAACCTACCATCACGGATATCAATTCTTTAATAACCTTCTCAAATACAGAATTGTCAGCCTATAACAATACACAATTCTCAGAAGTTTAACATAATCCATTTCACATTTTCTTCTATTTTTCACCTCCAACAGAGGTAAGACTTACTTTGTTTATAGCAAAATAATTTCAAAGCACAGTTTATAGTAACCACGGAGTCAATTCCAACAAAATACTTAAAATGCTAGAACTTCCATCCTTCCTTCTTTCCTGGACAATCTGTATTGAGTGTATAAGCACTCAACTCTGCAGGAGAACCTGAGGATTAAGTGGCCATAAAGCACGTAAACTTCAAATAACATCTAAGCAGGATTCTAGCAGCTTCCTCAAACAGGTCCTCATTGATCTTAATTCATACCCCTGTCTGTAATATTCTAAATTTTACCATATAAGTGTCTTATGCTTAGAAGGCACTTAAAAATTTAATCCCTGATTTAACCTAAAATCAGAAAGTCTTAAAGTTGAAAATAAACTTAAATAATCTGGCCAATCTCATTCACTTTGCAAATTGAGGCTCAGATATCATATGCTAAATAGAGAGTGACTAAAGCTTATTTTCTGTCCCCCAATTTAAAATTCTTTCTTTGATATATTTTACTGAAACTTCCTCCCTGCAAAAGAAGCATGGAATAAAACTGTAAGGAATTCCTTCCTATTTACTTTCTGCATTCTAATAATCTTCAGGCCAAAATGACTTCTTTTTAAAAATTCAATTCTGGTTTATGAGTTATTTTCCCACTAAATTAGAACTACCTTTTAAAATATTGCTCAGTATGAAATTACCCATTGTTTGGAAAGGAAAGAAAAAGCTAAATCAAACCAGAGATCCTCTGGAAATCCTGACTCCCATCCTCAGAACTACTGCAAACAGTCTAGAAAGTATCTTTCCTTCCAGATGTCACACATCTATATGGGTTCCCAGAGTTTCTCTTCTTTAGATTGCAATTGCATCATAGTTTAAATAGGTGTTTATCAACCATCTCCGTAGAAAACTATATAATATAGAACATGTGTATAAGCAGTGCAAGGTAAAGAAAAACTAAAGTTAAGAATAAGGGGCGTATCCTAAACATAGTTTATCAAACTGCAGACATGGCCCAATATTCAGTTTTGAAATCTAATTTTTGGATAACAATTAGAATTTTTTTGGCATTAAAAAAATGAAATAGAAAACCGTGCACCGTCCGTACAAAGTATTCATGAATTGTTTTGCATATTTATGCACACATGTGAGCATATGCAGGCTGGATCATAATATAACACATAGTTCTTACCAGCCTCATGGGTTGAGAAACACTGCTCTGAATACAGACTGCTCCTTGGCTCCTTATAGTGAATCAACCTATATGAGTGAAGAACATCTATGCCCTAAACCTTACAAACTACTCCAAAAAGAGGTGGCTATTCCAGATGGATTTCAACAGTTCAGACATCATTATCTTACAGTTGGCATTTCATAGGTTGTCTCACAAATTAAAAAGGCAAAAGAGTCGATCACTTTAAAAACTATCTTGTATCTCTTCATCTTCAAATCTTGCTGAGGCAGTATCACAAACACACTGATGTGTGGCAGAGATAATTTTAGAGATCACTCTTTTATATATTCATAGTAATCCAAGTACTACCTTAAATACATTGGTGAGAGCTACAAAGATTGAATTCAGATGATACTGTTCATAAATGTAAACTTAAGAAATGAACCTCATTATTTTTATTTTTAAATCTATTAAAGAGAAAATTCAAGGACAGATACACCAAAGCAACAAACTATACAGGTAAGAAATCTTTTTTTTTTTAAAAGATTTTATTTATTTGTTTGACAGAGAGAGAGACAGCAAGAGAGGGAACACAAGCAGGGGGAGTGGGAAAGGAGAAACGGGCTCCCCATCAAGCAGGGAGCCCGATGCGGGGCTTGATCCGGGACTCTGGGATCATGACCTGAGCTGAAGGCAAATGCTTAACGACTGAGCCACGCACGCCTGCACCCCAAGAAATCTTGAAATTCTAGCCAGAATAATATTTAATCTTTCAGAACTTAAATATACATAAAAAGATATTAATTTTCTATTCAATTTCTGTGAGTGACTTTCTAATAACTAAAAATTAATTCATTTAACTTATAATTATTCTTACAGGTCTTTGTGTAAAATGACAGAAATAAAGCATTTATTTTCCTAGTCTTAGATGATTATAATATCTACGAAATATAGACTTGAGGGATAAAAAAATCTTTGCTTATATAGTGCCATTATGAGAATTTGGAAGAAACTCTAAAAAATCCTCTAAATTAATACAGTCCTCTAAAACAAAGAAAGATTCAGTATTTTTTTAAAAAATACAAACTAAAAATATCTAGGTATTGCATTTTTTCCATGATGATGCATTTAAGCCCAATGCCATCACCAATAAATTGAGAGGCAAAGTCTATTTCAAAGAGGCTTTGAAATCATGTCCACTGCTATGGCTTCTTGACACTGCCATATTCTAAAAGTTGTCAAGACACTCAGTTTTTGACTGAAGAGGAAGATTACAGAAGGCCTCAGACACTGAACTAGAAAGACAGTGTCAAAATAATAAATCTCCTTTCTTCGCCACAAAGCATAATCTAGCATTTCAAAAATGAAACATTTAAAATTATCAAAATCAAATCTCAAGAAATAAGACAGGAAGTTAGGAATAGTTTTTTCCTTCTCCCTCATTACAATATCCATGGCAACAGGGCAATGTGACATCTTTTAAATAGGCTGGATTTATCAAGAAGGAAGCAGAAGTACCCTGTGTTTATCCTGAAAACACCTTTCATGGCCACTCTGAAGTCCACTTAGTTTCTATAGCAAAACATATTTTTCACTCTTTCTTTATTTATATAAAAAAATATATGAGACATGTATATATATATGTATATATATCTCACCAGATTAATGTTAGAGAAGAACTATATGTGGACTCCCAAAATATATTCCAGTTAGACATTTTGATTAACAAACAGATGTATAATACATTATGCCTTCCTGACAATCTCTTCTAAAAGGAAAAAATCTTTAAGAACATATCATGGAACACTACATCAAAAACTAATAATGCAATGTATGGTGATTAACATAATAAAATTTTTAAAAATGTAAAAAAAAAAAAAAAAAGAACATATCTGATTTCTACCAGACTTAGATATAACACTAAGTACTATCTGTTAAATATTTTCAGGATATAAAGATAATAAGCCTTAAATCAAAGTATTAAAACACAAACTATTATTTGTCCTTTTGTTCTACAGCATAACAATTCTGTTGAGCTTTGTAAAGAATAACAAGATAAAATTATTAAAGATACCTGAAATGTAGCTCTCATATAAATTACGTAATTTCTTAAAGCCGAATTTTAGAAGATTTTGGAATAAAAATGCTATCATCTTCTTAGGATTTGGGGACAAGGATATAATAAAGTGTGATAAAAGTAAATCAAGACCTTGCCAACCACATTTTCCCTCATGTAACTGTCACCACTTTGACATTTCACATTTAGCTTAGATATGTCAATCAGTATGTGTAGAATCATTC